GACAGAGGGCTTAGGGAGGACACCCTCAAAGACAGAGCTAGCGCTCCAGGTCCAGACAGAGGGCTTAGGGAGAACACCCTCAAAGGCAGAGCTAGAGCTCCAGGCCCAGACAGAGGGCTTAGGGAGAACACCCTCAAAGACAGAGCAAGAACTATTCAAACTAAAAGTACCAAGCTGTGATTATAGCTAGGCTACAAAATAACAAAAAAAATCAGTTTGCAATGCTATTAATTGTCCAGAATTCTTGGTTTAGCATTGCCAGTTTGTATCTATATGGTTATATATTTACTGGATTGCATTTTTTACAATATTATATTTACTAACTAGTACATTTATAACAATAACTTAGAAACCCTGTTCATATTGTGGTCATTTGACGTTTTTTTCCATACAATATTTTGACCATTTGGGTCTGTTTTCATATACACATACATTTATTTCTAAAGCAAAGACAAAACATATTTAAACAAGGTTGTGAAATATGGAGAACATAGGGTGGACAATCAGAGAACAAGAGCAAAGAAGAACTGGGACCAATGGGAAAGGAGACAATTGGAACCAATCAGAAGCGGGAGCCAGCAACCAATAAGGACCTGTTCTTTCTCCCCAATCAAAGGTCACTCTTTTCAATCAAGCTAAATGATTGAATAGCCTGATTTGTTTTCAAAAAGGACTGTTTTCAAAAGGAAGGCCAGATATTTTTTTGTTGCTACTCCACAGGGTGTCCTCCTGCCCAGAACAATGGTTGTAACTGAAATCTGAGAACTAGCTTACTACATGTAGTAAGGGAAAACTGAGCTTACATGAACACTGCCTGAATATACCTTTTTTTCCATAGATTTACCCAAAATGCAGTTATTGTACAGTCGTTACACATATTAGGTAACAATATGCAAATGAAGCTACAATAATCACATTTATATACAGTAAAGTTAGATTTATATACAGCAAACCGCATACAAAATAGCATTCTCGTTTGATACTGTTCCCCATTCGGCCAGGTTACATCTATAGACACCAAATAAGTATAGCGGCCTCAACCAAATGACCCACATTGAACTCAGCCACCTGATGATGCCCATGACTTGGACCCAGTTCCTTGGTTCTTGCTGTGATAGCTGACAGTTCTGCCCTGATTTCTCCATTATTTTAATGCAGTTGTTGGCAGCAGTGGGTTGGCACTAACTGAATGTCAGCACACAGTGAAGCTTCAAACATTGAAGAGTGTACTCTGCTAGTCGGGCATCATATTTGCAGTACCGGGCAAGATGAACTGAAGAAACCATCATGTGTCAATGCCAAATACATTTTTGGCTTCTTAGTTCCATAAACCATTCTGGGGAAGTGAGGAGTGCCATCCCCCAATCAAGCTATGTAATTGCTGTTGGAGATGTGCCAACACACTGTAATCCTGTACCATCTGTCATGAGTTTTTGACATACTGGGCCACTTTTCTCGCACTGCTTATTGAGATTTTGTTACTGCATTGATGTCATCTCACTTCTGTAGGCCCCATTAAAGCTCCTAATTGGAGCACTAGCCAGACCACCCTCCTACATAATATTTCTTTATTATTTAGTATTTATATATTTTTTTAATGGAAAGCGGGGAATTGACTTAACATGAATCACAGAGCTGCAGGAAGGAATAGTGACACTAATAAAGACCAGTCACTACTCCAGCATGATAACCAACCACCAATGGCCAAACAAGCCACACATTGTAGGTGGGCTCAGAGCTAACGCAGGTCACTTGGTCAACACTCTAAAAAATTATACATTTTATATTAATAATCTGTTTTCTTTGCCCCCTCCCCACAAACTCCCACTGTCCTTCTAGATAATTTGTAGTTATACCCTATTTCCTTTAGACTGTAAGTTCCTTCAAGCAGGGTCCATTCTGTCATTGTAAGTCTACCTTATTTTGTCATTTGTAAATTTGGTTTACCCTTGTCCAGCACTACTAAATCTGTGGGTGCCATCTGAATAATAATAATAATTATTATAATAATGGACAGGCATTAAGAAAGATAGCTGATATACTAAGGAATAGAAAGACAGGTAAATAAATGAATTAAATAATGTTGGGAAGATAGCCATATGGACTGCAGGACAGATACACAAACAAGTCCAGCTATTTTTTCACGTTGGTTTTATACTTTCTGTCTAAAGCTGAAAGTTGTTATTAATGAGTTTCTTTTGGCATGCGCGTTTATAATCGCACCAAGCAGCATGTCATTAATATATTAATCTCGCTACGTGCAGCTAAATTGCTCCACAAAGGGGAATAATAATAGTTTCATATTAAGTGCGACCTCAGGAAATGCGTGGATCATTTTTTAACAAATTATACACAGCACGTTCTATGTAAACACAAATAGATACCACGGTGATCATTTAAATTATGCAAATATGTCACAGCTTCATTCTAGACATTGAGTCAGTGGCGCTGATTGTTCGCATACTTTGTTGAAGCCAAAGCTTTGAACGGAAGCCTTTTATGCGGTGAGGAATTTATCAATCTAAAAAGAAATCAAAATGCTTAGAATATATATATTTGGGATTATATGTGGCAGCCAAAACCAATTTGCTAATCAGAAGTTCTCTGGAAAGAGCTTATCTACACTACTTGCATCACATTGTTTAACTATTTAGCCACAGCCATTTAACCCCTTAAGGACACATGACATGATTCCCTTTTCTTCCAGAAGTTTGGTCCTTAAGGGGTTAAGGGAACATGGACACTTAATTGAAAAAAAATGGTCTTTAGTTACATCAAATAGCACATTGAAGGAAATTTTGCTGTTTTGATGCTTATGCAAAACTCACAAGTGCCCTGACTCATGGAGGCCAGTCCTGATATAGGTCCTGTGTCCTCTCATCACTTTTACAGCTAAACAGGGGGTTCAAGGTACTCATACATGTTTGGTACCATGTGTAAGTTAGGTTATAGATAGTTATGCAGGGCAGGTTTTCCTTGCAATATGTATATTTTTTCGTTGATTTGAGCAGCCGTGCAAATTAAATATGTCTGTTCAGGGTAAGCACCCTGCCCAGTCTCTGGGAGTCCTGCAGGCGGTCTGATTGTATAACAGCATTGTTGAACCATTTGTACAGTGATGTTGTTTGATCTAAACCTTATTTTGGGAAACACGCCAGGTGGGAAAAAAATTGAATCCCTGGCAGAGAAACAAGTTCTACTCTGCTCATTCTCCAGAGAAAACACATTCTAGAACGCCTTCTCTCCTATCCAGTCCAACAATCTATGCAGGGCTATTCCCTAAGATGTGACCTGCCAGGAATTCAAAATGAATTTTTACATTTTAGGCCAAAAAGTCAAACAAAGTCAAAACTTAGCTGAGAATTCACACTTTAAAGGGATCCTCTAGTGCCAGGAAAACAAACCTGTTTTCCTGGCACTATAGGTCCCCCCCTCCCTCGGGGCCCACCTCCCACAGGGCTGAAGGGGTTAAAACCCCTTTCAGCTACTTACCTAAATCCAGCGCCAATGTCCCTTAACGCTGAGTCAGGCTCCGCCTCTCCCGCCATCAGCCGGCAGGGAAGAACTAATGCGCATGTGCGGCAATGTTTTACATTGCAGCACTAAGTGCAAAAGGGTCACAGACCACTTCAATTAGCTGAGTAACTCAGTCAGTATCCCAGTAAAATAGAGTTCCTATGCACCACGGTAGCTGTGTTCTGCATAGTTTTAACATACATTTGGCATACATGTTAGCAAAATGTAGGCGTGAGGGGCGGAGCTTGCTCTCGAGATGGAGTGCACGCCATGTTTTGCAGCTCGTGCAGAACTTAATCTTATTTTCGATATATCACAAGCCCTTTAGCGCATCCAGTCGGAATTGCGACTAGGTTCCAGACGATGACACAGAATGGGACAGTCCATAAAATATCATCGGCCACAGAAGTACCTGTTTTATTTAGGGCTTTGGGACTTTCAGCATCCAGTTTAGATTTAGCAAGACAAATTGAATCCCATGTCTGGGACCCAACCAACATAGTCCCCTGGGTACCTAGAGGAGGTGTTGGGGCACAATCAGGGATCTTACTAGGGTTGGGGATGCTACGGGAATGGGCATTATTTACTCACATTTTGATTTATCATTTGGTTCTTTATTTTCTCTTAATTTCTCAAGTATGTTTTAATTACACTGCAAAGTTCTCCAGACCAATGATGTATTTCACCGAAGACAGGTTTACATTTTGATACCAAAATGCTAGGTTAGTTCTGGCTCAGATCCCCATATTTGGTGAATTGTCTCATCCCCCCTCCCTCCGCAGCTCCCTTGTTTAAAGGTATCACATTCAGAGAGGCTAAAATGTTATTCTTCTAAATATCTCTTTATCTCTTGGTCATATGTTTACTATAGACCCTTTACTTCAGGGTAATCTTAGCTCCTGGCCTCACTCCGTATACCATTCCTGATGTTACAACAAAAACCCAAAGTAACTTTCATAGCATATGTTTTTGTTTTTTTAATTCTTTATTTTTTTGTGTGCAGGTGAGTACAATATCTTTGTCAGGATGCCACAGCAGCGTACATATATCCATGAATATACAGATTAGGTAGTGGCATAATTTCCTTGCACATTTTTAACAGGTATAACAAGGTTCAACGTTATGAGTCTATAGGTTATATATATGGAATATATTCAGTCAAGCTTAACATTACATAGAAAAATAAGCTGTTATTATAGTATGGTTATGGCGCAGGGATATATTATTCATGTGATTGCTAGAACAGACTATTGTATTTATTCACTCCTTTTTCTTTGTGCTTCAAGCCTAGCTAAATCAGCGTTTACATCAGGGTTAGGTTAAGTTAACTATGTTAGGGTAGCTGTGCTAATGGAGCCATAATGTTAAAGCATGTTATGCAGTGTGGTATACAGTTAAGTTATGCTATTGTAGGTAAGCTAGTATATGTTAATTATGAGCTGATTTGCCATCTATATGTAAGGTAAAAAGAAAAAGAGAATGAGTCAAGCATTCACCCTGGTGGTTAGGGATTCCCAGAGTCGCCTCCGTGGGATGGGGTCGGCATCCTTGTGGGCCCAAGGCCCCTCACTTAGGGACAGTCCCATTTTTGTCCGATGCCTGCTCTGTTGTCTGTGTAGTCGAGAGTAAGGGTCCTTCAGAGCAGGCATCAGGATATGTTTTGTCCGTTTGTTCATCCGAGTAGCAGCCTTGCTGTGGTGGGCTTGCCGCTTACAGTCATCCATTGGTTGGTGTTCGCCATGTTGTAATGGCTGGGTGTTATTTGCAGGTATTTGCCGTTTTCCGGGCTGTTCTGTTGCAGGCTGCATGGTAGGTGAGCACTGGGTCGGTCCGCTAATGAAGGTGTCTTGCTGGATAGAAGGTGCGGTCACCCCGGGCGGGAATAGTCGCTGTTTGACGTTCTGTCCTGTCGGTGCCGCTGCTGTCTCTCGCCTCTTCGAGCCGCCTGTGTCTCGTGATGGTGGCTTGAGTGGTTGTGAGGATTGCCACGGGTTTTGTCGCTTCCCCATGTGGCGGGATCGGTCATCAGGAGCTGTCTTGCTATTAATAGACGCTAGAAGGGAGGTATTCTCTGTGCCGTCCGCGCACATGGCGCCCGCCATTTTGGATGCAGTGGTTAGGCTCCTCGGCCTTGTTAGCAGAGTCGCGGTCATGCCTGCAGGGTAAGGACTGGGATCACCCCCCCGGTCCATAGAGGGGGGAACAGAGATGGATCTGCGCCGGTCTGGACCCCAGCCAGGATCTGTGGTGCAGGATAGTGAGGCAGCAGCCGTCTGCCCCGCTCACCACCAGAGAAGGCCCAGGTTTGGGCAACGAGATTTTCTCCCCCAGCGGACTGAAGCTCAATGAGCCAGCCTCTCCCCAGGTCCAGTAGTCCCCTGGCTCTGGGCATCCGCGCTGTTGGTACGATTTTGTTTGTAAAAGCTTGTTTTTGTTGGGCTTTCAGTAGCGTTTTACTGGAGCCGTTCTGACTTGCGGCCGTCCAGCTCGGCGGTCCGGCCTCGCCCCCCCATAGCATATGTTATAACTGTAACATGACATGCTTTAATCAATATGCCTTCTATGTATCACCATGCAGTATTATTATTATTATTATTATTATTGCCATTTATATAGCGCCAACAGATTCCGTAGCACTTTACAATATTATGAAAGGGGATTTAACTATAAATAGGACAATTACAAATAAACTTACAGGAACAATAGGTTGAAGAGGACCCTGCTCAATCGAGCTTACATTCTATAGGAGGTGGGGTGTAAAACACATTAGGACAGGAATGTGCAATCAAATAAGGTGGGCTGCCCTTTAGGAGAGGGCAAGAGACGGGTATGTGAGGTAGGGGTTAGTCTTGGAGGCCATAAGCTTTCCTAAAGAGATGGGTTTTAAGGCACTTCTTAAAAGATGCAAGACTAGGGGAGAGTCGGATGGCGGTAGGCAGACTATTCCATAGGAAGGGAGCCGCCCGCGAGAAGTCCTGCAAGCGCGAGTTGGCCGTACGGGTGCGGACAACGGACAGGAGGTGGTCACGGGCAGAGCGGAGAGACCGAGAAGGGACATACCTGTGGATCAGTGAGGAGATATAAGAGGGGCTAGAGTTGTTCAGTGCTTTATAGGTGTGAGTTAGTGCCTTGAATTGACTCCTATAGCACACAGGAAGCCAATGTAAGGACTGGCAGAGGGGTGAGGTGTGAGAGAACCGACTAGAGAGGAAAATCAGTCTAGCAGCAGCATTCATTACAGACTGTAGGGGTGCAGTACGGCTTTTGGGAAGACCAAGCAGGAGAGGGTTACAATAATCCATGCGTGAAATTATTAGAGCATGGACAAGCTCCTTGGTAGTATCTGGTGCAAGAAAGGGGCGGATGCGGGCTATGTTTTTAAGATGGAATCTACAGGATTTGGCAACATGCTGGATGTGAGGCTCAAAGGTGAGACCAGAGTCAAGTATGACGCCAAGACAGCGCGCTTGCAAGGATGGGCTGATGTTGGTACCACAAACTTGAAGGGAGAGCGAGAGAGGAGGATCAGTATTAGGAGGAGGAAAGACAAGGAGCTCAGTTTTTGAGAGATTGAGTTTCAGAAAGCGGGAGGACATCCAGTCAGAGATGGAAGAAAGGCAAGCAGTGACATGTTGCAGGACAGCAGGGGAGAGGTCCGGGGTGGAGAGATATAGCTGGGTGTCATCAGCATACAGGTGGTAGTGGAAACCAAATGAGGTAATAAGTTTGCCAAGATAGGCAGTGTAAAGAGAAAATAGAAGGGGACCAAGGACGGAGCCTTGGGGGACTCCAACCGAAACAGGGCGAGGGGAGGAGGTATCATTAGAAAAAGAGACACTGAATGAGCGTTGGGAGAGATAAGAGGAAAACCACGAGAGGACAGAGTCACAGAGACCAAGCGATTGCAGAGTTTGAAGAAGGAGAGCATGATCAACGGTGTCAAAGGCCGCCGAGAGGTCAAGAAGAATTAGTATGGAGTAGTGGCCTTTGGATTTAGCTGCGATTAGGTCGTTAGTCTCTCGCCTCTTCGAGTAAAATTAAATACAAAATAAATACATTTTAAAAAAAGGGTAGGAATAATTTTTATGCTTTTTCATTAAAAGCGTAAGTATATCAATGATGGGTACACTTGAATACTACTGTCTCTTTAATCACCGTAACAGTACTCAAAACATTTCCTGAGAGATTTACCATTTGCACCAACATCTCTGTGTAGCCGGACAAAAAAAAAAAAAAACAACAAAATATTTTACAAACTAATAAGTCATCTGTTGCTATGGGCACGTTATATTTCTGAAAGGAAATCAAATAAAATGTCAGCATATTTTGTACCGATTTTTGGTTTCATGTATTTCTATGTAAATCCAGTCAAACTTTTGTTTTAGAGGGACAATTAGATTGTAAAACTAGCAAAATAAAGCATTTTAGCTGACAGACATGTTGTAGTTGCACATCTGTTTTGTTATTGAACATAGCAAATGGAGGAGGAGAGAGAGATAAAATTGGTAGATTTATAAAAAATGTTGTTTTGAAAAATGGCGCAAAGTACTAAAAGTGTGGAAATCAGCATTAAAACCAGGTCTCCAATTTGTCCCAAATAAGGCAGGACAGTCCTGATTTTGAGTTCCTGTCCCACCATCTTAACTTAGTTAATATGATCAGCCAGAACAGTGTAAACACGTCGTTAGACACGCTGGTGCTGTGACGAGGGCACCGTGACCATGTTTGTTTACATTAGGAGTATATCTACTAAACAGTGATTTATTTTTTATTTGGGCAGTGGAGCATTTCTTTAATATGATATTAGTTTTCATTTTGTTGTTTAGGTTTCTCTTGATGGATAATTCTATATGTTACAGAAAGATATGCATTCATACAAAAAGCGTATACGGATCGAAGAAAGCTTTGGATAAGCACAGTGTTTGCCTGAGCAAGGAACACAATCAATAATAAATTATTTGCTTTTAGATAGTAATGGAGAAGCGTGGATTGGCCTCATGACTTTTTTTTTCCATTGCCTGACAGATTATGTGTGTTTACTCAGTGTTATTCATTAAAATGTCAATTGTCGCAAATTCAAAGTGAGCTTCAAATTTTGGACAAAAATATCAGAATTCGAAAAATGCTCCAAGTCTGTCTATTTTCATATTACGCAAGATAAAAAAAAAAAGAAGAAAACGTTAAAAATAAATAGATTGAAAAACAACATATAAAACCTTTTAGATGCAGCGAGCAGAACCCAAGTGCAATTTGCGGTTCACCTTGTGGCGTTCACAGAGTTTAGCATATCATTGCCAAAGAACACATTGGAAATGCAGGCTGACTTTCTGTCCGTCAGCACTCGAATGTATGCAATGAGTATTCTGGTCAGGCGCGCAGGAAGTGGCAGCCGACTGCAAGCACACAACCAGATTGAGCTACATGGATTGTGTGTGTGTGTGTGTGTGGGGGACAGACAGAGGCACAACACAAGCATAATCTCTGCACGTATTTTGCTATTTGTTACCCAAAAATTTGTTACTCAAAAATCCTACTTAAATAGCAAAAATGACATTATTTTTTTTTCACAACACCTATTTACCACGGTTTGTACATTTTAACCCATCCATGTAAAATACATCACAATTTTTATTTTCTTGTGAATTAGATTTAATGATTATTATCTTGTGGTTTTTTTGTTTTTTTTTACCTACATGTTCTTTAAGGCATCTGAGAAGCTCAGACAACTATACTGACACTGTAGCCCTGGGTTCTGTTGTCAGATTGTCACATTACATTTCTTTTCTTGCAGTTCCCTATCCTTTTGAATGTCAGCCAAGAAAGTATCAACAATTGCTTCCTGATTGTGGTTTAGAGTGTCCTTGATAATGCACTGTTGCTTTCATCTGTGGTTTCAAAACTAACACTAGTATTCCAATTTACTCAGCGCTGTTGTGTACATAAATGTCCATTATTTCACACTTACATTGCCAAAGATCCCTGGAGAGCAATGCTGTTGTGCAATATTACACAAGGTGTTCAGTTACAGAATAAGAAAAAAAAACATGTAATTATAAAATAAGCACTGTATATATTAAAATTATTCATTTCCGACTAAAAATCTGGATTATTTGTTTACACTATATTATAGTAGAACTCTATCAAATTTAGGGGGGAAAAAACACAATGTAAATTTTACTTGAAGTACAGGAGAATGTATGTGTAAAGCTAACTAGACAAAGAATTATATTTTGTATAGTTACAATATTTTTATTATAAATGTATGCTTTCATTCTTTGCAGAAATAACAGAAAGAGGGTGGTAAAAAGTATTTGAGATTAAAACAAGTAGCAAGAGAGGTGAGAACGGACAACCGCTCAATTAGCCTGCCCTTCGGTGGGTCCCCACTCAGATCTCGAGCTGGTTTTAGATCAACTTGTGTCATTGCAGAGAGAACCTATACCATTTGCATATCAGACTGGTCCCACACATACGGACAGTAAGGAATCTGCTGGGATTTGCTGGAATGCAGATTTTCACCATTCCAACAAATAACAGTATGTTGGGTAAAACAGGAATTTGTATATCAAAGGAAATTGCATGGTGTTATTGCACCATGCACATAAGTCCTACTATCTGCCAGATACATTTTTACTTCCTTCTTCACAAAATACTGCTTATAAGCCTTACAAACATTAATCCATACAAATTCCTGTACACATACAGAAGGAGATAGTGATACAAAGTCCCTCTGAGCTCCAGCTGGGAGCTCTGCCTTGCAATCTGGTGGTGAGACGTGTTGTAGCAGAAGGAAAGATAAGTGGGTTTTACAGTTAGCCTCCCTGTGTTAATCAAAGAGTGTACATCAAAATATTAAATGATCATTTATGCCTGGGGGGGTGGGGTGGAGGGAATGGGTGGTGTCACAGGGAATTTCCAAATCCTGATAATTAAAGATTATTACACTAGTTAAATATTATTAGTTTAGTTAAATGCTTCTAGCCAAATCTTGAGTAATTTATTGGTATGAATATGATGTAATCTTGGTGTTCATCGTCCAACAAAATATTTCTTCCTGAATTATTATTATTTTTATTTTTTTTTAAACCCTGTACATTTTGCAGCTAGAATAATATTGCTTGCATATTTAGCGTTAGCAATGCATGTGATGGCA